TTATTATTATTTATTGGCCAATTAGTTACAATACATGGTATTTTATAGCCTATGTCAGTACAATGAAAATTGATAGTCTCCATCAGGAGTAGACACTATAGTTGAGGATAAAAGGTTTTTGAATTTCCGATTTCTTCTTTTTGCCAATCTCCTGTTAAAAACTCTGCTAGTGTATAAAATTCCTTGCTTAAGACCCACCTCTTCACTCCCTTTTCACCCTTCACCGCTCACCCAATTTATTGTAGTTGTATTCCTTTATTCATTTTTCTTATTAGTGCTTTACTTGCAGCTGTTGATTACGCTCTCATTGTATGCCTGTGGTTCCTACCAACGGATGCTGGGGCGATCTATTGATGCCGCTGTTTGCCAAACAACTGTGAGTCGGAGTGTGAAAGAAATTACAAATGCTCTAAACCATGAAGAAATTCTGAATCGCTTCATCAGATTCCCTCTTACACGTGAAGAGAGAGCTCCAATAATTCTGAGGTGAGAGTTCTTTGCAGGATTTCTAGTGTCTTCAATATCACACATATTTTCAATTTTTATTTGTCTTTCAGAAATGAGCGATTAGGTTTGCCTCGAGTACTTGGTTTCATGGATGGCTTTCTATTGAGACTGTCGTATCTCCCACACGATGCTGAGAGGCAGTCCTTCTTCTGCAGGAAAGGCTTTACTGCATTTAACAACCAGATTGTAAGTATTTGCTTTATTTTATTCTGCAAAGTTTTGCAGTGAAATGATTCTAAGTTGAAGAGCTGAAGCATGGATACTCTTAAATTCATGATTACTTCATTAAACAATTGATAAGGAGCTATTGCTGTGATGTAGGAAAAGTAAAGTAACAATTTTTAAAGAAATGCTTCTCAATCAATGTATGTTTAGATTTGTGATGCAGACCTGAACATACTTAATGTTGATGCCCGGTTCCCTGGTTCTCTGACTGACAACCAGATATGGGAAGCTTCGGCTGCCAGGAATGTGGTCGAAGAGGCCTATTGGGAGGACAGATGCTGGTTGTTAGGTACTGACATTCAACATTCTAACTCATTCAAATATAATTGTAAGGCTACTGAGTCCCTTTGCATTTTTGATGAAGAAAATACTCATATTTGTATAACTCTTTGATTCACATTTTCTATTGTTAAGATGCTTAAAGTAAGTTAGGTCCATAATACTCTATAATCGCAGAAATATGTTCCTAATTTTGGAGTTTGGTGGAAGAGTTTACATTTTTACTTCCCCTCATATAGTCTGAATGTGCCCAACAACTATTTTTTTTATTAAATTGAATTACTTTGGATTTGTTTACAAATGTTAGCTTTGTTTCAGGAGATTCCGGTTACTTTACTGCTCCTTGGTTGCATGTGCCTCTTATACATGCAGCTCCGGATACGCCTGAATTTGAATACACCAGAATGCACTGTCGTGCCAGAAATGCCGTTGAGAGATGTATTGGCGTTTTGAAGGGTCGATTTAGGTTGCTTGGTGTTGACCGCTGTGTTAACTATAAAGATGCAGCTTATGCTGGCAGAATGGTAAATGCTTGTTGTGTGCTTCACAATTTCTGCATTCAGAGAAATATTCCCAATCCCCCTCCTTTGGTGGAATTAGATAGGGACAACGGCTACCTTCCAGAAATAAATGAACTTCCACTTCCAGCCAATATACAGCAAAGAGGTATTGATGAAATGCAGTTCCTCATAAACTTTGCCAATGAAAGAAGACTACGCAGGAACAACATTGTTGACCTCCTGTGAATTGGTGATATTATGGAGGGATATGATTTGAAATTCAAATGTAAGATATAATTTTGTATAAATGGAAGATTGTGCCTTTTAAATAATTTTAATTCTAGTAGCATTATTGTTCCAACTTGTGTTAGTTGATGTAAGTTAATGGTAGCAAACAAGAGTGGATTGTGGCACTATAGTGCCAAGGTTTTGATAAACATATGCTGCCTGAAGGTGCATTTAGTTTCTTTAAGTGGAAAGGCTTAAGTTTAAAAGAAACTGTAAGACAAAACATTGTTTCACTAAATAAATGCTTTTACTTCAAAAATCTCAAGATTGAAAAGTTACAAAACAGCATCATCAAGTTGTATAACACTAAACTTAATCAGCTGTATAAATGTGTGCCGAGTGCCACATTAAAAAGAAAGAAAGAAATTTGACAACAAATACAGTGTCCTACATCCATTGAAATACCATACACATAGATTAAACCTATCTGAATATTTGAACAGTAACATGAATGCTTTTCTCTTAATCATATATATATCTCAATCAGGCATGAAAACTAAAGGAAAGCATTCCTTGACAGTTTATTGCTCCATTACTTCATGGATAATCTCAAAAGTAGAAAAAAGTACTCCAAAACTACCCAATGAAAAAAGTTTTGAAGTTGGAATTTCTTCATAGACTTTTTCTCACCAGGAGTGGAATTAACCATATTACAACATTTCAATTTTTAAGTTATGGTCAAAACAATGCAATGATTGACATTATACCTAGTAACAACATATTTTAAGTAAATGTAGTCAGTCCTCAATAAGATTCAAAAATTATTCAAAATTGCCACAAAAAATAAACCTTTGGTCCAATGATTAAACAGTAACTGTTTCTAAGGTCAATAAAAAATAAAGTATGACAACCTTACATCAATAAGTTGTATAAGAACACAAAACCCATCAGCAGCTGCACTTGTAGATGTCATCTCTATAAGTGTGTGCTGATAGAAAAAAAAATTGCAAACTGCAAACCTTTTTAACGAGTCATCTTTAGATTACGTACAAAACCAATGACTTCCTTCATAACAAGAGTGTTGGCTCGGATAAGAGCCTTTACATGATCCGTATCAGCATCAGGCCCAGGCTGAGCCTCATACTGCATTGGGGAGACTACAGCATTCTTTTTAAGCAGCCTGCGTTTAGCTGCCAGTGGTAGTCCAGATCCTCTGAGAGGAGTCTGATACATCAGTTGATAAGGACTCTGGGGGAGAAGGGGATAAATAGGGATAAATTACAATCAAAACTAAGAGGACTAGTACACATGAAACTAGCAAAGTACAATACATATAGTAATGAGAAACTTACATCACTTAAGGTGACAACATCATCACTGTCCTCTTGTTTCACTGCGGCATAAGTCTGCTGCTTGGAGTCATCATCAGAATCTGTGAGATATATTATTTCACTGGCCTCTCCTTTCACCTCCTGCTTCAAACGCTGGAATCAGTGGAAAAAAAAAGGTGGTGAAATTATTCCAAGAGGTTGAGTGGCGAAACATTAGGACAGTTTTTAAAACATACCGGCAGAGCTGCAGCACCAAGTAGGTCCTCCTTTTCCTCCTCTTTCACAAACAGGGACGCTCCAATCCACTGGTCATCATTAAGGGGCGACCAATGCCCAACATCATTGCCATCCACAAGAAACTGAAAGGAAGAGTGGGACATGAGATAAAAAGTGGTCAGAGCACACAAGATCTGCGCAACTTAAATGACAATGGCCTAATGGCTCACCTCCAGGGGTGCATCAAATTCAACAGCAACAGGCAACACGAGGGGTGCAGCTGCATTCACTGCCTCTTGAGGTGCAGGTAACACAAGGGGTGCAGGCAACACGTGGGGTGCAGCTGCATTCACTGCATCTTGAGGTGCAGGCAACACAAGGGGTGCAGCTGCATTCACTGCATCTTGAGGTGCAGGCAACACGAGGGGTGCAGCTGCATTCACTGCATCTTCAGGTGCAGCAGCACGGTCCCGTGCAAGATTTAGCTGAATCTTGACAAAGAAAAATGACAGGAATAATGCAAAGACTGTCAAAGGACACTGAATTGTAGCCATACGTACCTGCAGAGGATTCGGACACCCTGTTCCCAAAGCAGCCGTTGTTCCGTTTAAATTGATAACCTTCTGGTGAAGCTCTGACAATTTCAGACCAGCTACATTTGCTGATGGGCCCCCACCAGTCCTTTGGCGATATGCGTTTTTTAAACGTAGTGCTTGGCGGGCACGGCCTCTCAGTCCAATCCAGGCCTACAAAACAATAATAGAAATTTATATGATTTACTAAGCAAATCGGCACGCTTGTTTGGCAATAATATAACAAATACATACTGCATGCCACTTCTCCCCAGTCTTCTTACAACCTGGAATTTTGTTGAGTTCAATGGCGATTGCCTCCCACTTTGCTGGTACTCTGACGACTCCACCTGGAGCTAAGAACTGTGTATGCAGAAGCTCCTTATCTCCTGCAATGAGCTGCAGTAGTTTCGACCACTGAGCATCAGAAGGCCCTAAACAAGAACAAAAACATTTGAGTTTTTTTAACATAAAAGGAACTATTTTCGGAGGAATCGGTATTTCGCCTAAGCCTCTTAGGACCGTGATGTAAGTTAGGTTATGGACATAGAACAAAATATCTCATTTGAGAAGTATGTGTCCCACAGTAGGCACATTCATGAGCATGAATGACGGTGATTTGATTGAAGTTGAGGTTAAATTAATAATCATTTAGAAGACACATCTACCCATTAGGATGACTGTAGGAACAAACTTCAGACCTAGCAATCGGACACGGATTGTCGTTTCAGCAAATCACACAGGAAAAACTCCATTCCGAAACTTCATTTGAAAGGAAACAAAACTCCACTCGAACTACAGTAAGTCACTTACCCATTTCACGCATTTCCACAGATCGCAATTCACAACACGAGGCAGCAGAGTACAAGATCCAATGTTGCCGGCTTACGAGAACATGCACGCGCCAACGCCAACGGCTAGGCTACTCTCGAAACACGAAACACCCACGGGCACGAACCGAAGGCAGAGCCGAGGCGGCCGAAGCCGAAGCCGTTGCCGAACCGATGAGCGTCCCCGATCAGTACCACGCCCGACGCGCCGGTGCCGACCCACGCGAGGCCCCCTCTCCCGTCTACCTCCCCTTGAGCGCTCTCCGGAATCAGTCTGCTGCTGCGGGGCCTGCGGGGGCTGACAGCTCGCCGCGCCGCGCCACAAAAGGGGAGCAGCTCGCGAGCACTCGGATGGAGGGCCTCTCCTCTGAGCGGCCACTCTTGCGCGCCGCGAATCGCCCCCACTTTGCCTGACTATGAGAACGCGCGCCACTTGTCATACGGGGGCGACGGCGGCGGCGCCTCCCTAGTGCGGCATGCAGGACTTGCGCGGGCCGAGCATGGCCTCCCGCCGGACCGACTGACTGGCCAGTCGCGGCGAGAGGCAGCGAGGGGAAACTTTCTAGCGCGGATTTGAAGCGCTTAGCTCCGCCCGAGGAGGGTGTGCAGGTGCAGCCCCCGGGCATGGCCGCGAGATAATGCCGGGTAATGGACGCTAAAATGCAAAACCGTCCTCCTTCACCTTCTCCCGGCGCACCAGATACGGCCGGTATTTACACCAATTACAAGAGGAGAGCGGCGCTATCAGGGAGCGCCCCGCAGCGCCACACGACGCCTCTGCGTCCGCGAGGGGCGCCCCGCCCCGCGCCCACGGGCCAGGGGCGCGTGGATAACGCGTGCGAGCTGAGCTGCAAGCACAACCAACCGCCATTTTCTGCTATTATGCGCTGGGTGTGCAAAAAATAATTGTCTCAGTAGGTTAATGTGTTGTTAGTAAGGAAATAATTGAAGAGTTTGTTAAATTGCAAAGTTTATGTAAGCGTTTGCTTAAAAAGTTCCCCTACCGACTTTGAAAAAACACCCAAAAATTGTCCAGAGTTTGTGAACACCACCGTGCAACCTAAATGGCGACAGCTGATAACTGCTTGAAACTCAAAACGCGACCGATCCATTGCGGTTTCTGCTGAGTCGCCGAGAGAGTTTCGCCAGACTGGCAAAACAGCCGACAAACTAAGAACCCGAAGAAATGAGTGGGGTAGGAAGAGGGATGAAGAGAGAGCAGGAGATTTACTCGCTCTTGTGTCAACACGGGCGGCCGCTGCAATTCAACATGCACACATTCCCCTTCCGCAGCCAGAGAGCGCGGCGCCAGGACCGGGAGAGAGAGAAAGAGCGGGGGGGGGGGACAAGAGACGCAGCGGAGCAGCGACTACTGGTATTTACGTTTCTTTTCAGCCGCCCACGCTTGTTCTACTTGGCGGTGGCGATGCGGACGAGGGGCGCCAACCCCGCTCGGAGACGGCGGGGGCGCGGCGCGCGTCCACGCCCGCCCTCGCCTCGAGCCCGAGCGCACACCGCCGCCGTCCTGCCCTGAGCGTCATCGCCGCCGCTCCTCTCGCCAGCGAGGCGTTGAATGTCGTACAGTACCCCTCCTCGCGAACCTAAATGCTGGATTTAGTCTCTTGAGACCCGTTGCCTCACGGTGAGGCGGCCTCATTGAGATCGCTTGCCTCGTCAGAGGTTTTTGAGGACTGTGATTGGCTGAAAACCTCTTGGATAAGCGATCTCAGTGAGGCCGCCTCACCGTGAGGCAACGGCGAGGGGTCCGCAACTAGGTTCGAGCGCGTACACTGGCCGCCCGGAAAACTGGGAAGACCGGGAAAACCACCAGGAAGACTAAAGAAAACCAAAGAAGAACAATCAAATTGGAGGCCACAAATGTCACGGAAAACCGAAAAATATAAGGGAAGACCGGAAAAACTTTAGGAAAGACCTGGAAATTGCAAGGAAGACCAGAAAATGTAAGGGAAGAACGATGGAAATGCGAGAAAACAGCAGAAAACTGGAGGAAGCCTTTAAAAAATCTCAGAAAACCAAGATTGGGAAAACCAAGAAAAAGTTGGGAAGAGCGGGAAAACCTTAGGAAAACCTAGGAAAACCTAGGAAAACTAGGAAGCCCACCACATGTGTACATCGGCAGACCGTACTTGCGGACCCCTCGGGCAACGGGTCTCACGAGACTAAATCCAGCAAAACGGACGCAAAGGGAACGCTGAATAACCCGCGCTTCCAGCCGCCACCCCTACGGCGGCGCCGCGCCGCCCCGCCCCGCCCGAGCGCCCCTATGCGACTTCATCACGCCGTAGTGGAAGATTTGATAGATTGTAATGGTGTTTTAAATCGCTCGAGTCGCGGCGCCGGAGGTTTATGGGGCGCCCAGAGAGGCGCTGCTGCCGGCAGACTGCGGGGCGCCGCGGCTACTCATGCAGGCCGAGTGGCAGGCCGGCGCGGGGCTGCACGAGACCGGACTGAGTTACCTTCGCGGCTGTGTCCACCATGAGGAAGGGTTGTAGGCCTGCTCGGGAGCTGGAGCAGAGCGGGAGAAAGACACGACACGCCGCTGTGGCCGCTCACTCTCGGCCGGCATACGGAGGAGACGGCGGCCCCCCAGGTCCCCGCCGACACGGCCGCGCGGGCCGCTCCGGGCGTTACGTCGCTACGCACGGCCCAGCCCACGGGGAGAACAATTGAAGTGCGATCCCATGCTGTACTGCGGGCGCGAGCGCGGGAGGCTGTTGATAGTGCATCGAAGGTTAACGTACGTGTCCAGCGCGCCCGCCGGGGCGGGGCGGGGCGGGGCGGGGCGGGGGCGTTCCTCGACACAAGAGCGCGGCGTGAGAGCGGCGGCCTCTCGCTCACTGGACCGCGGCTTCTGCCCCGCCCGCCCCGCAGTCGCTCCCTTTCATTTCCCTTTGCCGATAGTTTGCACATAAATCGCCCGACAATTCTTTTGAAGGCAAAAAAATAGAGGAACCTCAGAGGCATATCAAAATCTAACCCCGAGAAAAACTCTACAAGACTTTAAAAAGTCTATTTCTCGATAACCTTAACGGTCCGGATAAGCAAATCCATTCAATTTCCACGCTCCCAACGCCTTTATAAACATCCACAACTCGGTAAGAAAACACATTTATGCAAATTCGTTTTTCTGTTCCTGAATTCCACGGGGGCTTCAAAGGGACATTTCTATTTTGCTGCCACAACACACCACTTAGAGTTTTCAGTGGAAGACGGCTACAAATAATGTAGGGATTGGCATGGCATGGCTTTGACCTTCTTCCTGGAACCACCCCGTGGCTGCCCCCCGAACCCGTTTACCGTACCGCTGGCTCGCGCTGGCTGCTCGCGTTCCCGCCCGCCAGCCTCCCCCGCACGGCATGCGGACCGGGCCGGGCGTGCATCAACATACAGAAACAGAACGCACCAAACCGGACCAATCAAACTGGTGCTTGATTATGCGGGGCCGGCCGGCCGCCCGGGCGGGGCACTGACAGCGCACCGGCGCGTAATGTTGTGACTAGAAAACATTTGCACCTTGTGCGTGCGAAACGAGGCAGGACTCACACAACGTCGCGCTTTATTTTTCAAACGGCATCATCAATTTGCTAGTGATTTTCCATTTTCATTGGCCATGATCTCTGCCGTTTCTGGCAATGGAGCGTCTGGTGATGAACTGCGCTTTAGCAATAGGACATTTTGTGAATTTTAAAATTTGGCTATCACTAAACTTGGTCGTTTGGACTGACGTTTCTTTGTCATATTTTACGAGTGGTGTCACTTTACTCTGCTGTGTATACTGCTATCCTGACTGGGTAGGCCAGGGTGTTATCGAGCGATGGGGAGAGAGAGAAAGAGAGAGCGGGAGAGAGAGAGAGAGAGAGAGAGAGAGAGAGAGAGAGAGAGAGAAAGAAAGAGATTGGGTGGGGGGGTGGGTGCGAGGGCAGGTGTGTTTTGCCCCTTTCCGTGTTTGAGAGATAGAGTGTGTGTGTGTGTGTGTCTGTGTGTGAAGTAATACACATGGTAAAGCAAATGGCGGTTTAATTCTCCGCTCGTCTTGGCGGAAAATGAGAGTGGTCGCTAAGGGCGCGCGGGCTTTTTGCCGACACTCTGGGCCGCTATGAATATTCAGCAGGAAAGTGGAAACAATAGAAGGCGAGAGGATAGCGAGTGCGCGTGGAGTCCGGCCACGCACCTCCGGGTACTCGTCCGGTGTGCGGTTGAGCGGCTGGACGAAAAGCGACCGGATGCGTTTCAAAAACCAGGGTAGTCAATTGAAACAAAAATCAAATTTTGACGAATTATATCACAGCCACATTTCATATTATTTGAATCGAACAAGACAGTGGTTACTCTCCAGCTTTCATCATGATCAGCTGGTTGACCTGATTTCTGACCTGGGGAGGCAATGGAACTCTACGTGGACTTCCGTGGGGACCTCCGTGGGGACCTTCTTTGGGACCTTCTTTGGGACCTTCTTTGGGACCTTCTTTGGGACCTTCTTTGGGACCTTCTTTGGGACCTTCTTTGGGACCTCCGTGGGGACCTTTATGGGGACCTCCGTGGGGACCACCGTGGGGACCACCGTGGGGACCTTCTTGGGGACCTCCGTGGGTACCTCCGTGAGGAACTTTCGGTGGTCCGTCTTCCTGAGTGGCAGGTTGTCCCCCTTGGTGAGGTTCCTGCAAACAGTTAATGACAGTTAGCCTACAGGTTACCTGAAAGATTATTCGGAAACTCCATAACCCCAGGTGAGATCTCTCAGGAAAATAAGGAAACGATTTAGAAAAGAAGCAAAAAAATCGTCCGGATAAGGAAAAGTCACTAGTATCGGTATCGGCTTGAGAACGCACTCACAGCATGTTTTTGACACCCGACTCAAATCTATCGTAACATCTGTATCCTAACCGATCGCCATCCTTTTCCGATAACTTATCTCAACGACCGCTATTAGTCTCATTTCTCTGTCTCACGCACATTTGGCTCTTGGTTCCCGAATGTGAGCGATTTGAGATTCCTGAGGGTGAAGGCGGGGTTCAGGCTCGGGTCCAGGTTGGCGACAGAGCGCCTCACATTGGCGTGCATCGGCTTGAACAGACGGTCGGTGGCCGTGCCGGCCGACACCTGGGTAGACAGCTGAAGCAAAAAGGAGGAGGCGGATGAGCGAGCAGGACAGGAGAGGGATAAATTAAATCGAAATGCAGGGCTTCCCAGGGCCCGTCAGGGCGGGCGGGAGTCCTCCTCGGCGGGAACCCTCACCGCCATCAGGCAGGCGCAGGCGGCGAGCAGGAGGACGGTCGCGTAGGACTTCATGGCGGCGAGTGGCTGGCACGGGGCTGGCGGCGGGTTAGCAGCGAGCATCCCCGCCAGCGGTGCGCCGCCTTTTAATGCACCCGACTGCCCGGGGCGTCGTGACCACAACGTGCGGGGCATGGGCACGGTGCGCACGACCCGGGCGGACGACGCTCCGCGCGCACGACACCACGCAGGCACGGGGGCCACGTCCACGTCCAAAACTAACCCACTTTAATTCAGACCTGCCACTTGTAAAACAATGAGTGTGCAGTTTTGCACAAAAGTGTGCCGTTTCACTGACAAATTTGAGTTAGGTGAGTTCATGGTGTTTAAACATCAAGCATGTACATAGTACGCAAAATCTGCAGACTTGGTCATACACTGGTCTTCTGGTCTTAGTACTAGCCCACGAACTGTCAAAAGTTACACACCAGGGTGTGCAATTCCCTAGACTTTTGCAAACTGTGCAAAGTTTCACATTTGAAAAGCTCACCAATTGGTGCGCAGCTTTCTACGTTTGTTTTACAAACGAATCCTCAGTAATGAAAGTGGTGGTATTTGACCACGGATGGAGTCGCAAACCAATTTTATTTTGTAGCATCGAATCAAAAATTCTAACAGTTACACTTTCCCTCCATGCACCAATGTTACTTTGTAGGCACTTGAAATTCTGAGCACCTGTCATCTACTGTTAAAAAATTTGTAGAGGTACAGAAAAAGCCTGGTTATACCAGTTGCCATGTAAAGGCTGATAAAATCACCAAATCTGTAAAATTACAGACTGCTTAAACTAACTCCACAAAATTTTTGTAAAACTGATACCAAATATTTCTGTAAACATGTTTACGAATGTTTCCTGTAATTTTTACCCACATTTTTCTGAGGTAATATATGTAAGAAAAAAATTTCAGTGGCTTTTTTTTTTTGTTCCTCATATTTCATTGTCAACCACCAACGGGTTTCTTTGGTGAAAAGTGCTTGAACCTACTAAACTACTGAACTACTGGTGGAGTCGTACCCCAACCTCGTGGTCGTGAGCTCGATACCTTGCCCATTGCGTTACGGCGCGCTCCATGCGGGTTGCTCGTCTGTCTCGGTTGCGTCCTACTGTCCCCGCGGGTTTTCATACGGTACGGTTTGCCCTCTCTCCTGACTTTGGTAAGTGATCTTTCGCTGTTCGTTGTTATGCACGAGAGTTCAACATTGAACAAATTTTAGGGCCAATTTTAACCGGATTTCTTATTTGAAAAATTACAGAAAATATCAGAAAAACAGAGTATCTGTAATTTTACGAAAGTACACGGATTTTTACAGAAACTTGTAAAGTTACAGTAGTTTTTCTCGAAAAATAACTAAAATCTGTAATTGTACTGGTACTATAATTTTACCATAGTATTTCGGTACAACTAACGTGTTCTGTAAAATTACATCACAACACAAGACCACACGAATTATCGCTAAAATCACTAACAGTTTTTACAGTGAACAAGCTCTACAAATAACAACCAACTCCATGATAGCAAGTGAAACCATAGTGCCATTTATCGTGTAAGTCGTGCACTGCTTCTTGCGTCGTGGATACTTCAAAGGGGATTTCTCGAAAGTACTTGCCATTACCAACTCTCTTGCGCGAAATAAAAATAACGAACATCCCTAATTTCCGGAGCTCGTGGAGGGTCGTCGCTCCTGCTGGGCCCAGGGGTGCCGCGGCGCGGGGGCGCCGTGAGGCACAGCAGCAGCCCCGGAGCCGAGCAGAGATGCCAGTTAGATTTTCCCTCCTTCCGTCAACGCGATTAAGCGACACGTTTCCCTGCTCCGACGACGAGAAACATTTCGGGGGCGCTGATGAGGTTGGGTAGGTGGGGCCTGGCG